ATGAAAAAAAAGGTGATAGTTTTTAATTTGTATACCACTCTATTTTTCCAGAAAAATGGGCTATTCCTCTACTATTCTTTTTAGGAAAATTAGTAAAGGAAAAGGGAGTAAAACAGTTAATAAACAAACGTATCTAAAGAAAAGAATAATGTATCATTTTAATACAAAAATATGCAAGATAATTGGATTTCACATTTCTATTGCTTGGAATAAAAACTTGGCCATTATTAAAAAGTCTAATTGAATGTACCCTTTGAACACCAAGGAAGGTTACAAGTCTCCTAATTAGCGTTAGTTTTCTGTAAAGAATATTTCTTATTAAATTAAATTATGAGACTTATTGAACATCTTTTATGTACATTGTAATTTATGATTGCTTCATTATTGCTCATATTGTTTAATGTAGTAGATATATTAAATATCTTATAATAAAATAATGAATAATTTTCATTTTAATGTTGCTCTTATACTGAGAACTTCGCATTAATATTTAAATTTCTCGTATGATCAATTGAAACTAGTTAATTGGCAAAATAATTCTCATTACATTCTTCTGCAAAATTTACTAAAAAACATTTTATATTATAAATAGTTTAAATGAAGTTGTGACTATTTTATCAAAAACTCAAAATAGATGTTTATGGATCACGTACTTTATTGTTTAGTTATTGTGTCAATGATGCAATTTAAAAAAACAAATAAAATTAGAAAATTATCGGTTTTTATATACAAACTGAAACAGCTGTTGTCATGTTTTGCTGAAGAATTGTTAGCTGAAGACATACTTAAATCAGTATCTTGAGAATATTAAATCATGGCGCAACCAGCCTCTAATAATGCTTATATAAGTATTAAGTATACTCTGTACCAGGGATGGACTAGGATATCTTAGAGAGTGGTGGACGCACTTTTTAAGGAGCGCCGTGGAATATGTATGCATTTATTATAAATATGTAAGTATATATGTGTATATAAATTGGAAAACTTAATTTTGAATTCCTCGAGTAGTTACACTACTTTTAAATTGTTCCGAATCAGTCAGTTTCTGAACTGAATTAAATACAAATAAATAAATAAATCATAAGTGTAATATTTTAAAATATTGAGAAGCACTAATCTAAAAGAAAATTTATTAAATCCTTAGAAAAAAAAAATCAGAAGAAATTTTTTTTTTTCCAAATGAGCCAATTAATTGTCCAACTATTACTAACAAGCATAAGAGTCAGTAAAATCTGTACAAAACATTTCTAAGATTTTTACTAGTACAAAGAAATGAAATACATTAATATTGCAATTTCTATATTAAAAAAAAAAGGTTTTGCAGGTTTAAACAATGTTTCTAAAGAACAAAGACTGCTGCTTTAAAAAGTTTAAACTGATGGTTCTCTTTCTAAACATTTCTGAACTGGTTCCTCTCGTCGCTAAAAATTATAAAAGAAAATTCTCAAATTCGCTGTACAGAGTGTGATGTATCCCGATTTCTTCCAGAGTTTGGAAGGCTTATAACAAACAAAATATAACTAATATATAAAAAATTCATACTTTACCTGATAAAGAAACTTCAAAAGTTTTTTTATTTATTTATTTATTTCACCAATGTTCAATATGTAAACCTTTGGTGATGCGGCAGACTTCAAGCCTGAAGTCAATTTGCAGTTAATACCGTTGCTTACCTCGATACGCAGCAACTGTTATCAGGAGCGCCGAGATGGGAGGTCTCTGCGACCTCCCTAAGATTTTCTCTAATCAGCAAAATTCACCAAACCATTCCGCATATTTACGAAATTTCATAGGCTACATAAATAAAATTAGTCAATATTACACCCTTATTTAACCTTTCCGAATAACAATGATAAAAAATGTACAAAAGTATCATTTCATGTATACTTTTCTCATTCTTATATCTTTCTTCAATAAATCTAATCCCCTTCTTGTAATTGAAAAAACCCATTTTTCAATCATTTGTCATGGAGTTTCTATTTCCGAACACAAACGAGCCAGTTTCATCAAAAATTGAGAGACAAGACATCAATTAGCTCATCTTCAAATTCCTCACTGTTTCTTTTATGAAAAAGAAATATTTAAAAAGAGTATCAGTGAATAGGTAAGCACAGTTTGGTTAGTAAAAAGGGTGAATATTGCACGAAGTTGAAGAAAAAAAATTATTAATTGTAACTAAACACTGCCAAAACTTATTTTAACTTTTAAATACATTAAAGTTACACCGATTAAAAGACTGCTTAAGCTAAACAACGTAAAGTTGCACATTTAAACTTATGGATGTTTTTTTATTGATTGCTAATTTAAAAAAAAAAGTTGCCGTCACCACTATATCTGAATATTTTCGCCGAGCATGTTCATAAACAGTAATTCATAAACAATTAGGTGAACAATGTGAGATTTTTCACATTTCTGGAGAACTGAATCTGATATCAAAACATATTTAAGCATTCTGATATTAAAATGTTACCGGTGCGGTTACTTTTGTCCTAGTCGATGATAACTTTTTTTTTGTGCCTCATAAATCAGTTGAGTGGAAACTATT